GGGAAGATATGAAACTTGAAGCAGAAGAATTGATCTGGAATTATTGAATTCTTAGACGAGAAGGAAATGTAAAGAAGTTTGAATTAATCTTTCATTTTCAAAATTTAACAGGACATTGTTTCTCGATTATTATACTTTTTGAAATATGTTTCATAATTATTGGAATAATACATTTTTGTATATCTGTGTATTTGTGTGAATGAGTGCACGTGTCGGAATGGTTAGTAGAAGGATAGCTACTAACAGTTAGCTAATAATATCATTGAACCTCTTTTTACAGTATGGGTTTGGTACTGTTCATTTTTTTCATCGCGTTTGTTATTACTCGTTTTATGCGGTATCATTTTCATGTTTTATTTCGCATATATGAAAATTCGAAGTTATTCCTATCGAATTCTGTTCTGTTAGTGTTATTTTTTTATGCTTCAGCATTGAAATTTTGCCAATTTTTTAAATTAAAATTTCAAATCATGATTTTATTACATGAAAAATGATTGGTTACAAAGGAATTTTCAATCATTATACATATTTATGTAACGGTACTGTTCTGGTCAGTAATTCCTTGATGACTTTTAAGAATTGATTAGCTGTGAAAGTATGACAATTTATGCAATTTTGGATCCAAAGTTATGATGAATGGTATTTGATGCGATATTCTAACAAGAAATTTTTGAATGTATTTGTTAGAGGTTTCTCGAAAGGGATAGAATTTTAAATGTGAAATTTCGGGAGTAGAAAGATGTCAGGTAAAACGAGATTAGGTTGGAGAACAGAATTAATTATTGATTCATGCGGCATTCTCTAACACTAATTTCCAGATGTCGTTAGCAGTCCCGATGGTTCGGTGATGATCGATCGATACGCGAGGATGAGCAGAAATCACCGCCAGATTATTTCATTACGTTGGACTCTTCTATTGTATGTATAAATTCAATAGTTTAATTCAACTAACCAAACTCTTTGTGATACATTCAGAAATCATTTTCCGCATTATCTATATATCTATATTTCAATTCCATTAGTTTAAATTGAGTATTCGATTACATGTTTATCGGTAAGCTAATTAATTTTAATTACTGGCGTGTGTTATTAAACAATGGATCGTATATTATTATTTTACCACAATGGTTAGTTTGTTTGCAATAATTCTGTTTGAATTTATAGCGGCGCCATCACCTACCGTAATCGTCGCTCTCTTTCTCTTTCCCTCTCCCTCTGTCTTTTTGTGTTGTGTGTTAAATTAAGAGGGATCCGTGTCATAAATCAATCATTCATCCTTTCGATGCAAGCAATGAGAGGTATGAAATTATATGCATTCTTTTCCTTCTTCTCTCTCTCTTCTCTCTCTCTCTTTCTCTCTCT